ATATCTAGTATCCATCTTATCCATATCAAAAATATATTGCGCCTGAAGTCTAGTTGCTTAAAGTACATACTTTGTCTTTAAAAAAATTAAAACTGCATTTATTATATATTTATTTCAAATTATTTAAATTTTATATATTCCACATTTTCCAATTATATGTTTAAGAAAATGTTTCAATTGTGCCTCATACTTGTGCCTTTTGTATAATTTTTGTACTATTCTGTGTAATGTTTTATATTCGAAAATCACATCTTTTTTTAGAACCTTCATAAATAATTTAATTATTTATTTATTAATTTTTATAAAAATTTATATAGTCTAAATAAATTCAATTTCTTTTTGTATTTATTTTTATTTGTTATATGAAAATTAAGAAAGAAATGTTGCAAATGCGTTTATGTCTTTTGCTAACTACAATATTTTTCTTACAGGTTCGAAAAATTACCAATATGGTATTCCAAAAATTTTTATTAAATGGCGGACTATTGTTAATCGCTACAATAACTATTGCCATACCTGCTGCTAACTGTTCCGAAGATGACGATCTGTTATATGATAAGAACTTGCTAAAAGAACCGTTGCATTACAATGTCGAAATACGATTTTTTCTTCAAGGACAATATTTTACTCGGAGAATGTGATATTCTTATGAACATTAACCGTTCATTGTACTTAATTACAATGAACTCCGTACCAGTTTATATAAATAAAGCAGTCATGATTGATAGTAAAAATATTACGATTCAAGCTTCTACAATTATTAACAGATTCAAGAATACTCTGACTATAAATTTGCATCAGGATGTACCTCCTGGTACATACAAGTTAAAAATAGCATATGCGCGTATTATACATAGAAACAGAAATTTTCGCTACCTGTATATCAAGACATATTAGGTGATCAATGTAAGTTAAAATACTTCAAACATATCGTTGTATCGTAAATATTATACCTTATAATTCTTTACATAAAATATTTTTATTGTATTTATCGTTATCTTGACATGCAAGAATCAGTACAGAAAATTTATCACTTTCTAGACGTTTAAATATACTCCATATCATGACACTCGAGACAAGAAATTATAAAATATCTTCATGATCTATAAATCTTAATATTTTTAATTCAATTATGATTAATAATATATCTTTATTTAAACTATAGCATTGAAATATTATAGGTTAAACCAAACAAATGTCGAAGTAATGAAAGCCTTACATCTATTTCCGCACATGAATGAGTCAACAATCAATTCCACATTTAAAATTGCCATCAAACATGGTGAAGAATACACAGTTTTATCGAATATGCCTATACGAGCACAAAATAGAGCTAATAATCGTATGATGTGGACTCACTTTGAAGAATTAGTATCTATTTCTTTTCAACACATAAGGGTTGTGATAACCACATTGATTAATGTTAATACTGACCTTGCAAATGTTACCATATGGTGCAGACAAAGTGCTCGAAAACTAATTTATTATGCAAGAGATGTTATTGAAGAGGTTATGCCTTATTTTATACAAAAATACTTGCAGACATTATCAAAATTGGATATTGTTGCATTCTGGCATCCTCACGACGATAACGATGTGATATTGGGATTCGTTTTGCTGAGGTAATACTACTTATTAAGATTGACATAAAAAATAAGGTTGTCAATGATATTTTGAAATTAGAAGATATACATATTTTCATGTAAATATGTTAATTAAGAGACAAACAAAATTTATACAATGACATTTACA